ACTGTGATTCTCAGAATGTAGAACAGCAGATTTATTCACCAAGAGGGACACAACATAAACCAGGTCTTGTTAGCAGAGAAGACAGCATTGTTCAGTAAAGTCCATCTTGGGAGCAGGGGGGCAAAGACAAGGCTCTGGCCTTCCCCTTGCACTCCAAGCCAACCAAGGCTGAACCATTTCCATCTGCCTGGCCCCTGCCAATCAATTTGCCCCTTTTCTGGTCTTTGCTTCCTGGGCAGCGTCACATGTGTCTCAGGTTATGCAGGACATTGAACCCAGGCAGCTAGTGCCACCTCACCTGCCCTGAGGGTATCAGGAGGGGTCACATCCCCTTGTTTTCATCACGTAGGCATTGATGCATTACACAAAGACACGGAGGCACACACAGAACTCATGCACAACAGGAAGGCCCACATGCAACATAACAAAGGGGAAATCCAACTTTGTCACATCACTTCTCCCTTCCAGACAGAACTTAGCCGCTTCAGCCAGTGACCAAGGGAAGTTCAGTCCTCCCTGTCCAGGACAAGCATTGGCTATAACATCATCCAATCACTTCCCTTAACACGGACCACTTCTATCTTATAACCCTGGAGGGGCAGGCTCCCCTACAGCAACTTGGCATTAGCCCCTTTCATCGGGTACAGCCATCGGGTACAGCAGGGCAAATGGTCAGTATGGGCAGCGAAGTGTTGCCTAAACAGATCCAGCTTCAGTCTTTTACGAGTCTACCCCATGGGCAGGCATTTCTTAAGAGTGCAGTTCTTAGGGCATGAGCAGCCTCTGCACAATATAGTTGCTATCACAAAAAAATGACTGGGGATCATTACTAAAACAAATGCCTGTGCTTCCTCAGATGGTCTGAGACTTCATAAAAACAGTAGCCTAAGGTCTTAAACCCGGGGTAGTCAATTATTTTGTGTCAGTGTCCATATTGCTTGGCCAAAGACTAGACTCCAGAGAAACGTTTTTCACACCATAGCAATAATGATAATAATAAGCAAATAAAAAAATTTAATGATCCATTCAAAAGCATCTGGTGGTCTGGATTTGGCCTGTGATCTGCCTATTGACTACCCCTGGTTTAAACTCAAAGGATCCATATAAAATGTAAAGTTCTAGCATCTTGTCAAGCTTGTATAAATCATGAGAACTTCATTACACCACACCAAGTGACACCATTATTATTAGTCGTAGGCTATTTGTGTTATTGCTCCTTTTGTGGAGTTAAAAGCTCTGTTACTGCTGTGGTTTGTTTTGTTAACAGCCAGTAGCTCCCAGAACTGAGTTATGGTCTCACATGTTGATTTAAGAGAAAAGCTATTTTTCTAGCCAGGAGGACACACATCTTCCCAAAATGGGTCATTATTTTTGAGAGACAGAAAACAGTGTAAGTGCCTCCACATGCTTGTTACCAAGTTAGTGTCTTCCATTTGTTTACAGATATGTTATTATTGGGCTCATTCATATGCAGCCCCCGCTGGATGAGAATAGAAGGCTACATAAGGCGAGGCTGATTCTAACCACACTGCAACTGATATAAAGCAAAAGTAACTCCATGAGTCAATGAGGTAGCAACTCATGTACTGAACTGATGCTGCAGGGGACTCAGGAACTCAGGTAAAGCTCTCACATTCTTTGCCTACACACACACACACAGCAGCTTACAGCAGCCTGGAGAGGCTACACAACTGCAGAGCACAGCACATTCCTCCCTGCACCCGGGCTTGTAGGGGAGAGTGGCGTAGGAGCCAACTACACCAGCTCTGTGCTCCTGAGGGACTGCCCAGTGTTGACAGGAGAGACAGGGCCAGACCCTGCCAAATTTCAATCGCAGCTTCAAAGCAGGGAGGTGCAAGAGCTACTCAAAGAAAAGGGCATCAGTTTCCCCACACCTGGCAACAAAACTATGTATTTTCCCTATACTCGCTTTGGTGAAAACTTTCCCCTAAAAAACATCCCCAGTGAGTAATAATGGGAACTGTTAGGGCAACTCTCACTCTAGGCAACTCTAAAACAATAAATCATTTGTTTTCCTCACACATCTTCTCTTCTCTTCCATCTTTCCCTCTATTCTCACGGACTTCCATGGGAGAGGCAGTCCTGTTCTCCACTTCTACTTTTTGGGTATATCTAGACTCTGACAGAGGCATGTAAACTAGGTTACCCGACATAGTCAAAGAAGCTGGGATTTAAATATCCCCGGCTTCATTAAAATAAAAATGGCCGCCACGCTGTGCTGGCTCAGCTGATCGTCGGCACAGCGCGGTAGTCAAGCCGCAGATCGGTCGACAGGGGAAGGCTTTGTCGACTGCTCCCCTATGCCTCCGGGAACCAG